ATGAACCTGGAAACCATCATTCTCAGCAAACTGACAGAAGAGCAGAAGATCAAACACCGCATGTTCTCACTCATAGGCGGGTGTTGAAAAATGAGAACACATGGACACAGGGAGGGGAGCACTACGCACTGGGGTCAGTTGGGGGGAAATAGGGGAGCGACGGTAGGGGGTGGGGAGCTGGGGAGAGATAGAAAGGGGAGAAATGCCAGATGTAAGTGATGAGGAGGAAGGCAGCAAATCACACTGCCACGTGTGTACCTATGCAACAATTTTGCATGTTCTTCACATGTACCCCAAAACCTAAAATGTAATAAAATAAATAAATGGGAAAAAAAAAACAAACCAAAACTCCCCAGCCCTGGCTTACTTACTGTTCTTTCTTTACAAGGCACTGACAGTACCTGTGTTAGTTTTCTACTGCCCCATGACCAATCACTGCAAACTGAGAGGCCTAAAACAACACATGTGTATTATCCACAGTTCTGCAAGTCAAGACCAGGAAGGCTCAACCGGCCTCTCTGCTGAGTGTCTCCCAAGGCCAACTCAAAATGGGCCAGCTGGGTGCTAATGTGGAGACTGTGGAATAATCCACTTCTGAGCTTATTCAGGCTATTGCTCATTTAGATCTAGTTGCTTAAGGTGGTAGGAGTGTGGTTCCTATTTTTTGGCTGGCTGTCATCCAGGGACTGCTCTAAATGCCTAGAGTCACCCTACACCTTCTCGGGAGCACTGCTTTATCCTCAAAGAGGGCCTGCTGTGTCACATCCTTCTTGTGCTTTGACTCTCTTAGCTCTTCTTCTGCTCCTGGGTGAGGAAAATGCTCTGCTTTTCGAGGATTCCCCTGCCAGGTCTGGCCCACCCACACCGCATTCGTGTCTCATGGTTAAGTGACTTGAGACCTTGATTCTCCTGCAAAATCCCACCATAGCAGTATTAGGATTAGTGACTGAGTATACAGGAGATGGGAATCTGGGGAATCAGACTACAGCTGTCTCAGTCAGCTCCAGTTGCTATCACAGAATGCCACAGACTGGGTAGCTTCATCACCAGGCATTTCTTTCTCAGGGTTCTGGAGGCCAGAAGTCCAAGATCAGGGTGCCAGCATGCTCAAATTCTGGTGAGGGTCCTCTTCCTGGCTTGCAGTCAGCCACCTTGCTATATCCTCACATGTTGAGGAGGCATGGAAGAAAAAATTCTCTTTTCTCTAATCATAAGGGCATGAATCTCATCATAGGGACTCAACCATCATGACCACATCAAAACCTAATTACCTCCCAGTCTACCTCCAAATGTCATCCCATTGGGATTTAGGGTTTCATTGTATGAATTCTCAGAGGTCACACATATTCAGTCCATTCATAATGCCTGCCTACCACAGAAGCCAGAAGTGGACAGCAGCATTATGACAGGACCAACTGGGATAGCCCTGAAGGTCAGTGGTGAAGGGAAACTTTCCAAGAGGGAAGAGCTTTCAGCAGTGCTCCTGTGTGGCAGAGAGATGCCCAGACCTATAAGTATGTATCCTTGTATATGCTGTGTCTCATTTGTTGGGTGTATGATCAGGAACCTTGTGGACACACAATTGAAAATTTGTGACAAGGAGGTCTGGGGAAAAATATGTGGCAAAACTAGCCCAAATGGACATACAATGTGAAGATATTTGGGTCTCAGGAGAGTTCTTAGCAAAGGGTAACCTCAGCAGAGCAGAAGTTTAATAATCTGGATAAGGTACCTATTATCTAGATATTAATCAGTCTCTCTCCCCAACACTTGTGTCATAGCGTCATGAGCTCACAAAGTGGCCAAGGTGACAGGGATAGAGATTATGCTTCAGAAGCACCGACTTCCACTCACCAAGGCCAACCTGGCTACAGTTGATAGAGACATGAGACAGCCAAGGGTCCCTGGCGAAACCCCACTTTCAAGCCTAAAACGGCCTGAAGGTTGAAAAACCAGACTGCTGGTCCTGAATGAAACCCATGACCCAGAAGAATTGTCACTATTTACTTGCCCTTTCCCAACTGATTCTTTCTCAGTAATGCTGACGGGTACCCGGAGGGGGGGGCAGAGCCATGGGAATGTTGTGCCTTGTGCAGGGGTGGCAATGGGGAGACTGGTCTCTTCAGTTCCTGTGTGGTGGCACAGAAACAATCTGGGAGGTGGGGGCCTGTTAGCAGGATTCCCTCTCACTTTGCTGAGAGTTCTTTCCTTCCTAATTTTCTTTTTCCACCAATACATTCCCCTCCTCACCCTTCAATGTGTCTGCGAACCTAATGTTTCCTGGTCACGTGACAAGAATTCGGTTTCAGCTGAACTAAGGAACAAAATTCTGTAACATAGTCATTGCTGAGTGTACAATCTGCCAGAAACAGAGAGCAACACTGAGTCTCTTATATGGCACCTGTCTCCAGGGTGATCAGCTAGCTACCAGATGGCAGGTGGTTACATTGGACCACTTCCACTATGGAAGGGACAGGGCTGTGTTCTTACTCAAATAGACACTTATACTGACAATGGATCTTCGTTTCCACCCACAGTAATTTCAGAAAATCAACATCTGTGCAGTCAGAAAAAATGCCTTATTTACCACCATGGTATTCCACACAAGGCACTCACAGATAATGAAGTGTAGCGATGGGCCCATGCTCATGGGAATCCACTGGTCTGAATATTTATATTCCCTTATCCTCCAACAGATTTTTTTTAGAGGTGGTACTGTCTTACCCACATTGGCCTTGGACTCCAAATCAGGCTCCTGAGCTGTCCCACATTATCTTAAGGTGACTGGATCAACAGAACTGCGCAATGGACTTGTGGAACTCAGTTATAGTGCTAGCTAGGTGGCAATGTCTTGCAGATCTGAGCAATCACTTAGGAAGCAGTGTTTGCTGTATATCTGCATCCAGCATAGTTTCTTTCTTTCCCATAGTCAGGATTCATGGGTCCTAGATTCCAGGGGTATAACTGGGGGTGTCTCTACTCACTCTATACTCCAGTGACCCACTAGCAAAAACGTTTCCTATTCTCCTGACTTTAGGCTCTGCTGAAATAGAAGTCTTATTTCCAAAGGAAGAAACACTTTCGCCAAGGGACACAGCAGTGATTCCACTGAAAAAAAGATTCATACTGTCAGCTGGCCATTTTGGTCTCTTCATCACTTTCCATCTAGAGGCAAAGGAGGGGGTCATCTACTGGCTTGGGATGATGAACCTGACGATCAAAGGGGGATTAATTGCACTAAACCAGGGGCTAAAAAGGAGTATGTTTGCTGTGTCTAGAGAGCTTCTTAGTCCTCCCATGTTTTCTGATTACACTTAATGGAAAATCACAGCAACCCAGTCCAGGCAGATATCGAATGGTCCTTCAGACTGTTCAGTAATGAAGGTTTGAGTCATCCTGCCAGGCCAAGCATGATGACCAGATGACATGCTATCTCAGGGCAAAGGGAATGAGAAATGGGTAGTGAATGAAGGCAGTTATAAATACCAGCTACAACAATGTAGAAACCATGACCATAATACTAAATACATTGGTGATTTATCAACTCATATCCCTCCTCAGGTAGAAGAACAAACCAACCAACAAACTACAAAAGTCTAGCTTTTACTAACAGAAATTTACTAAATTTCAAAAGCTCCATCTTTTTTTTTTCTTAGCTTCAGGAAGGGAATTTTCTTCACTTCAAAATTACAGGGAGCTTCAGCAATGACCTACTCCATTTTACAGCATATGTCCTTGTTTCTCCTTGGTCTTTGCATTAACACAATTATTTTTTTCTCATGTGCTTAATTTTACTGAGATGGCAGTGGGAATCTATTGTTTAAGCACCTTCTCAAGTTGCTGAATTAAGGCAAAATTTTTAAACCTGAAATTAAAGAGATATTCCATTAACCAGAGGATACCCACAGCATCTGTGATATGTAAGAGGTAGTAGTGGATACAAAACAGACTTTACAATCGACATGCAGATAGAAAATGCATCCTCATGGAAAAATACAAACTAGAAAAAGACCAAGTGAGTCAATTAAGGGCCCACACCCACTCCCAGGTTATGATAAATTTGGAAGGCTCCATGGCATTGGAAAAAAAGTGTTAGAATAAGATAATATCAACCTAAATGCTTGGGGAAATAGCATGAACTATGACTGAGGGCCAGGGATTAGGAAGAACAAGGCATGATTTGTTCCTGCTCCTGTCCCAAACTGTACACAAGTGCTTAAAACAATAGAAGAGTTCCTTTTGGCAGCCACCTTGCTGCTTCCTTAATGGTAAATTTAACAAATTGTTTCTTGACATCCATAGATCCTTGTACTTCTTGAAGCAAAATGAAAATTCTTTCATAATCTGAAGATATTTTAAAAATTAGTATTTCTAAAATTATGAAAATGAAATATACTTCAATCTTATTGCATCCACTACCACAGTATACATTTTTTATGGGCTACAATGTTACATAGTGTTTGTGTTTTGAATGCTTAAATCACATCTGTATATTACTAAGGAAACTATTGTGAACGCTAACAAAAAAAAAAAAAAACCACGTAAGCAAATGTATTTGAAATTTTCAGTGAAATTAAATAGAAGCCACGCTAAATTATAGACAGATCAATTTAGCCAAACAATGAGCTCAAGAGGCAGCATAATTGTGTTCTAAATCATAGAATGAGAGTCTTCTCCGGCTTTCATTGATAGACATTCTTGCACTGCTTACCTCGCCCAAACCTTTGAATTTCTTTCATTAATTGATGTTTTATATCATCATTAAATTTCTTTGCCATGTCAGGAGATATTTGTGATGTATTTGGCACAGTTTCCACTGAAGACATTGCTGTGACTGGTGAGTCACCTGCAGAGACACTGTTGTTTTGGGTTCCTACCACAAATTCGTTACTATCAGGTTTGTAAAGCAGCTCATCTTTGCTGAGACTAGTGAAGTTATAAGAGAAAGAATCCAATGGGTTGGGTGGCATACGATCTCCTGTCAAATTTATAAGCCCTGGTGGAGCAGAATCTGACAGGAAGCCATCAGGTGGGGTCTGACCATTTTCTATCTCCTCCTTCTGGATATCGTGAATGACAGTAGCATCTGGAATTCAAATGGAAAAACTGAGCTGCGAGGTAAGTGCATTATGTCACTCCCACAGGTATATCCCTCTGATGCTCAGTTTCGAAGAAGTTATGTCAGAAAGCAAGGATATACAAGGTGGCGATACCAGACCCCTCAGACTGAGCTCAAAAATGACAATACAGCAAAACCACCTGCTTCCCTGCCGGACATTATGCATGCATACGGAAACCAAGTAGGACAGTACAACCAATAGACAAACATACACAGATCCCTGGTACTCCTGGATGAAGGACCAGCTCCTGACAGATTACTACGCCCTGGTGGAACTGCTGATGAGGAGTTATCAGGTGCTTGTTGGCCACTATTCATCTTCTTCTCATGGACGTTGTCAGAGGTGGTGGCATCTGGAAAAAAAAATGAAGAGGTCGAGCTGTGAGGTCAGTGCATAATGACAACTCCACAGGTATAGCCCACTGATGCTCAGTTTCTAGAAAATTATCCCATAAAGCATGAGGATATACCAGGTGGCAACCAGAGAACCCTGAAATTGAGGCAAGAAAAGATAATACTGCAAAACCACCTTCTTCCCTTGATGACACTATGCCCGCATATGGAAATCAGGTGGGACAGTGTAATTTATAAGGAAACATACACAGATCCCTGGTACTCATGGCTGGAATGCTAGCCCCTGTCATATTAATAAGTCCTGATGGAAGAGTTGACAAGAAGTTTTGAGTTGCTGGTTGGCCGTTTTTTATCTTCTTTTCATGGACATTGTGAGTGATGGAAGCATCTGGAAATCAAGTGAGGAGGAGGAGGTGTGAGGCAAGGGCATATGTCAACCCCCAGGCATATTCCACTGAGGCTAAGTTTCAAGGCAATTATACCATAAAGCAGGAGATGATGTGCCAGGTGACGATCTGAAAACCCTCAAATTGAGCTAATGAAAGATAATACAACAAAATCACCTTCTTCCCTTTATGACACTATGCATTCATATGGAAACCAAGTAGGACAGTACAACTAGTAAACAGATCTCTCATAGTCATGGCTGTAATACCAGCTCCTGCCAAATTATTAAGCCCTGGTGTAACAGTGGGCAGGAAGTTATCGGGTGCTAGTTGGCTGTTTTATCTTCTTTTCACCGACATCGTGAGTGATGGTAGCATGTGGAAACCAAATGAAGAGGTTGAGTTGTGAGGAAAATACATTATGTCAACCCTGCAGGTATATTCCCCTGATGCTCAGTTTCTAGGAAATCATTGCACAAAGCAGGAGGACATGACAGGTGGTGTTCTGAAAACCCTAAATTCAGGGTACAAAAGATAATACAACAAAATTGCCTCCTCCCTTTCATGACACCATGCATGCATATGGAAACCAAGAAGGACAATCCAACTTATAAGTTAACATACACAGATCATTGGTACTCATGGTTGGAATACCAGCTTTTGCCATGTTAATAAGCCCTGGTGGAACAGCTGACAAGATGTTATCAGGTGCTTGTTGGCCATTTTCCATCTTCTCTTCATGGACATTATGAGTGACAGCAGCATCTGGAAACCGAAAGAAGACGTCAAGCTGTGAGGTCAGTGCATTACACCAACCCTGCGGGTATATCCCTCTGATGCTCAGTTTTTAGGACATTATCTCATTAAGCAGAAGGATATACCAGGTGGCGATCTGACACCTCCCAAAATGAGCTCACAAAAGATAATACAATAAAACGACCTTGTTTGATGTATGACCCTGCATGAATATGGAAACCAAGTAGGAAACCAAGTAGAAACAACTAGGAAACATACACTGAGCCCTGGTACTCATGAGTGGAATACCAGCTCCTGATACATTAATAAGCCCTGGTGTAATGGATGACAAGAAGTTATCAGGTGCTCTTTGACCATTGTTCATCTTCTCTCCGTGGACATTGTGAGTGACTGCAGCATCTGGAAACCAAATGAAGAGGTTGAGCTGTAAGGTAAGTGTATTATGGTAACCCTACAGGTATATCCCTCTGATGCTCAGTTTCTAGGAAAATATTTCATGCAACAGGAGAGGATATGCTGGGTGGCGATCTGAGAACACTCAAATTGAGCTCACGAAAGAAGGTACAACTGAACAACCTTCTTCCCTTGATGACACTATGTATACATATGAAAACCAAGTGAAACAATCCAACTTATAAACAAACATACACAGATCCTTGGTACTCATGGCTGGAATACCAGCTGCTGCCATGTTAATACGCCCTGGTGGAAAAGTTAACAAGATGTTACTAAATTGCAGTTGGGCGTTTTCCATCCTCTCATCACAGATGTTGTGAGTCGTGGTAGCATCTGGAAACAAAATGATGAGGTCAAGCTGTGAAATAAATGCCTTATTTAAACCCACAGGTATACTCCTATGATGCAGAGCTTCTAATAAATTATTGCATGGAGCAGGAGGACATGATGGCAGTGTTCTCAGACCCCTCAAATTGCACTTAAGGAAGATAATACAACAAAACCACTTTCTCCCCTTTACGACACTATGAGCACATATGGAAACCAAGTAGGAAAATCCAACTAATAAGAGAAGATACACAGATGTATGGTACTCATGGCCAGAAGACCAGCTCCGGCCATATTAATAAGCCCTGAAGGAACATTTGGCTAGACGTTATGCGGTTGTGGATTCGCCATTTTCCATCCTCTCCTCATGGACATTGTGGTTGACTATAGCATCTGAAAACCAAATGAAGGGGTTGAGCTGTGAGGTAAATGCATTACATCAACCCCACAGGTATATCCCTCTGATGCTGAGTTTCTAGGAAATTATCAGAGAGCAGGGGTGGATATGCCAAGTTGCCATCTGATACCCTTCAAATTGAGGCTAGGAAAGTATATACAACAAAATTAACTTCTACCATTCATGAAACTATGTCTGCTTAGGGAAAACAAGTAGGACAGTACAACTAATAAGCAGACATACACAGATCTGTGGTCCTAGTAAATGAAAGTCCAGCTGCTGCCATATTACCAAGCCCTGGTGGAGCAGTTGACAAGACATTATCAGGTGCTGGTTGGCCGTTATTTATCTTCTCTTCATGGACGTTCTGTGTCACTGCACCAACTGGAAACCAAATGAAGGGATTGAGCTGCGAGTTACATGCATTACGTCAACTGCACAGGCATACCCCTCTGATGCTCAGTATCTAGGAAATTATCTCAAAAAGAAAAAGCACATACCAGGTAGCAATCTGAAAACCCTAAAATTGAGGCCAGAAAAGATAGTACAACAACACTACATTCTTCCCTCATGAAACTATGCATGCATATAGAAACCAAGGAAGACCATACACCAAGTGAACAAACATACAGTGATTCCTGGTACTCAGGGACGAAACACCAGCTGCTGCCATATTAATACGTGCTGGGGGAATAGTTGAGAAGACATTATTGTGTGCTGCTTCGGCATTTTTAATCTTCTCCTCATGGACATTGTGAGTGATGGTAGCATCTGGAAATGAATGGAAGACATTCAGTTTTGAGTTAAGTGCATTATGCCAACCCCACAGGTATATCCTTCTGATGCTCAGTTTCTAGAAAATTATTTCATAAAGCCAGAGAGGATATGCCAGATGGCCAACTGAGAACACTCAAACGCAGCTCATGAAAGACAATAAAGCAAAATCAACTTCTCCCATTCAGGACAATAGGCATGTCTATGAAAACCAAGTAGGATAGTATACATGAATAAGTAAACATACAATGATCCCTGGTACTCATGGCTGGAAGACCAGCGGTTGCCAAATAAGTAAGTCCTCGGAGAACAGTTGAAAAGATGTTATCAGGTGTTGGTTGGTTATTTTCCATCGTCTCTTTGCGGACATCTTGAGTAACAGTAGCATCTGAAAACCAAATGTAGAGGTTGAGGTGTGAGGTAAGTGCATTATGTAAACCCCACAGGTATATTGCTCTGATGCTCAGTTTCTAGATAATCTTTCAAGAAAGCAGGGATGCACATGCCAAGGGGAGATCTGATACCCCTCAAATTGAGGCTAGCAAGGTATATACAACAAAATTACCTTCTATCTATCATGAAATAATGCCTGCTTAGGGACACCAAGTATGGCAGTACAACAAATAAGTAGACATACACAGATCTCTGGTCCTTGTGGATGAAATTCCAGCTGCTACCATATTACCAAGACCTGGTGGAGCAGTTGA